GTGCCCATGACCCCCTGTGCATCGGCGTCCTTTAGGTGCCCATGACCCCGTGTGCATCCGCGTCCTTTAGGTGCCCATGACCCCCTGGCCGGTTCCCCAGTTGCCCTTCCTTGGACTGCTTTTCTAGGTCCTGACAACAAGACCTGCCGTTTTGTAGATGCTCTGACCCAGTCATCTAGGCACCACAATTTGGCCCTTGTCAATGTTTCCCTGGGTTTACAGCTTGGTTGGGGGGGGGTAGACGGACACTGGCAGGATTCATGGTGTTCATGTCTTTCTTTTAATGACAGCAGTGGTGATTCCACCCATAATACACTGCAGTTATAGCAAGTGTGACATCAGTTGACAAAGTCCGATTGCGGATGTTTGTCTTGATCTGCAAATACATTAACTGTTAGGCTTTAAAAGCGATAGCTGATAGCTTAAAATAGTTATAGTTTAAAGCAGAAAATCTCATTGTGAAACGTATTTATTACCCTGTTCATGGTTGAGAAGTCCCTCTCACAGTTTACACTGCTGACCGGGTGGTTGACGCGACATATTTTCCGACTCGCGCTCTCTGTCCGCTGGTGGAAGTGTGCTCACCTGTGTGTGCGTGCATGTGTCTGTGCGCGCATGTATCGGGGGGGAACTCTGCCATGCGGGATGCAGAGAGCAGAGGAGAATTGTAAGCACGACCGTGTAGAGACAAAAATGACAAGCTGTTGTGTAAATAAGATGAATTACATAAGGCTATTTAGTTTGTTTATTAAAAGGACATTGTATAGACCTGTTCTATAGGAAAGGTAACCTTAAATGACTTCTGTTGTGATCTAGCGCTATATAGAAAATAAAATTAACTTGATCTTCAAGGGGGGGTGGGAGGTGCTGTTGGGGGGGGGGGGGGGGCGGGGCGCCCCCCTAATATAATGGTTTGGGAAACACTGCCATACACTGGCCCATTTTTTTCCTGCTTCCATCATATGAAATTCAGGACTCACTGACTGTACTCTTGCCCAAATATATAATGGTACCTTTGACAGTTGCCACTGTAACAAAATAATGTTTTTTGCTTCACTTGTCAGTGGTTTTAATATTATGGCTGATCGGTGTATATTTCTGTATGATGTGCTTGAAGTTATTTCGAAAGCTATCGGGAATATTTTAAAAAGTTGCGATCATTTCTGGGTGCTTCTCTGGTTGCATTCTGGGAGGTTGTTGTTGTGGTTGTTATTATTGCAGCTGACAAACAGAGTTGGATCGGGCCCTGCAGTGAGACACAGCCGCACTGTTGTGGCTCCTGAAAAGGGCCGGCCTGCTCCCCTCTCAGCTTTGTTAACAGGCCTCCTGTTTCTCACAGGGCTGAGACCCAGCCTCTCACTATGAAAAGGGAGGACTACCTGGAGTGGCCTGAATATTTTATGGCGGTTGCCTTCCTGTCAGCTCAAAGAAGCAAGGATCCAAGCTCACAGGTACCCCCCCTTGATCGATCTGGGCCCCCCACCTCTCCTACCGCCCTGTGAGTTGCCTGCTGGCTCCCTTTTTAATATCAGTCCTGCCATTAAATATTAACCTGGCTGACACACTTGCATCAAGTCACTCAATCCTGCATTGCACAGCTAATAAATCATTGGCTGCTGTTTGGGCTTCGCTGGCAGGCAGAGATTTGGCGAAGTAATGAGGGGAACAGCAAGAAAACAAGTGGGGAACTGTGTCCTGCACACGGTTTGTATTTAATGAAGCGTTCTGAACACTGCGTTTTTAAATGTAATTAGTGAATCCAGCACCTTGTCTCAGCAACTGTTTCTCTCAAGGCTGAGAAGAAAAATGGTGAGGTCACCGCAAGAGAACCACGGTACCTGACTGAACTGAACACTTGTACCTTAAGATGTATGCAAACACAAGTCGGCGATCATCTTCCCAGCCATTCACATACTTGAACCATTTTCCAGGAATTTTTTTTTTTTAAATTTTATCGGAATAATTTAACGTGCTAGACCACATTAGACCAGGTCTCCGAGAAGCACGTGGTGAAACGGACTCCATTTTATGACAATTGGAGGTTGTACACTTTCTTCCAGTACCATCTAAATTGAGTAGCGAAGATGGGGGGGGGGGGGGGCGTTGAATGGGTAAATGCATCAGGAGCCGTAGGGTGTCCGTATTCCCCTCAGCCGTGTCCTATCGCAGCATTGCATTCTCCCCAACACCTGTCCGTATGTCACTAGGCACAGCTGTGAAGGCAGAGACCACATAAGAGAGTTTTCGGCAGACGACCGGCAAGTACAGGGTTGTTAACGGATTGTGTGGCCTGGGCTTCATGGCTTGTTGCTTTCAAGGTGCCAACCAAAACAAAGGGAGGGGGGGGACGGGGACTGTTGGCTTGAGCTAAAACTAGTGCGGGTGAAAGGAAATGCGTCTCCCTTATGGCGATGGGAAATGGTATCTTCTCTCAAGTTGCTGTGAAGCTCGATTGTTTATGCATCACAGTAGGTGGTCGGGCTGGTTGCTATTCACCGCGCCGTTTCTCCTCGAGAGTCTATGACCTTGTTGAAGAAATCAGCAAACTGAACAAGAGATACAAGCTATTATTTCTTAAAAGAGAGATGTCTTTCCCCCCACCGCCCACCCTGACTGTGATATATTTCTCTAAAAGACAGCGCATCTCTTCTTTCAGCCGCGGAGCCCCTCTTTGCAGTCAGATTCACCACGGTGTGCCTTTGTGTTTGCGAAAGCCGACGTGAACCTCGCATGAAATCACCACGGGCAGAACATGATTCTGCAGAAAAACACAAAGGCCGCATCTTTTTTATCTTAACCTTTTGAGGACATTTTTTCGGGCTGCTTTTGTTTTGGTCGTTTTTGTTTTGTCGAGGAATGTTCGACAGTCTCGCTGCACCTGCCCGTTTCATTTCGCTCTCACTGCGCACTATAGATCAGTCATTGCCACCCAAAGAGAACATGCACATATTTGGGTATTTTGACATAGGCCTGTTGATGTTCGCCAGTTATGGTAGCATGAGGGGGTAAAACCCTTTACTATCTTCTCCATAGTGAGCATCCTTCTATGTACTTTAGGTCAGGTATCTACTTCATAACTCGTTTACTTTACATATTATTAACATGAATATAAGTGCTTTGCCCTTTTTTTTTTCCCTCAACTCATCACCCCTGGAATAAATTAAGTCACTTTTAGGTTGGTGCTTGCAGTTAAGAAGCTCAAGCCTTGGCGTTGCTATGGGTGGCTGCCCTTCGCGGCCAGCTTACCCTCACCTAGAGAGAGATAGTTGGGGGAGGAGTAAAGAGAATTTCTCCATGGGGGTTAATAAAGTATTATTATTATTCTTCTTATTATTATTATTATTCAGTATTTGTGCTGCATTCCTTGCAATATTACTCAGCTGTGTTTCTCCGATGTGGCAGCTTTCGTCGTCCTTAGTTAATGCCATGTAAGGTTGGGCAGTGTTTCCCCCACAAAGTCGTTGTAGATTACATTTTTGCATAACCCTCTACCCTCCCTTTGAGAAATGTCTGTCATGTATTTCTTACATGGATGGATGGGTGGATGGGTGCATGCATGGGTGGATATTTTAATAACTCCTCAAAGCATTATACAGTCAATAACTCCTAGTGCTAAATCACTTTTTATGCAGATAATAACCTTGAGATGCACATGGCTTTAAAAAATCTACTTGCTTTTTAGGTTGGCGCCTGCATTGTGAGCCAGGAGAACAAGATAGTGGGGATTGGGTACAACGGGATGCCCAATGGGTGCAGTGACGACCTGCTCCCCTGGAGCCGTGAAGGTCCCGACAAGCTGAACACCAAGTACCCCTACGGTGAGTTCCCTCTCACTGCCTGCCAGTGTTTCGCCAAATTATTACAGTGAGACTTCCCTTTTAAACCATGAGGGTGTCTTTCTGGACCCCGATTTATAATTTAGTGCTGCAGAGGGCGCTGTTCCCTAAAGCTTACGGCTTGCTTCGTCAGGAGCTGAACTCCCTCTCGTTGTGATCCTTTCATGACAGTTTGGTCACAGACAGCCATGTGCACGGTGGTGTACGACAGCTGCTTGAACTGGTCGTTCCAATTATATAAAAACGCACGTCGGCCAAAAAAAACTTGACACTGTTCAGTATGTTCAGTATGTGACCAGTATGTTTCAGTCCACTTCGGAAAGCAGACTTGTACGAATGTTTTTCCAGCTGGATCTGATCCGTTCTTTTGTTCGCCGTTCTGACAATCCTCTCTCACATCCCGCAGAATATGCAGCGCGCTGAGATGCTTGACGTTCTCAAATTGCTGTCATTATTTTCATGTCCTTTCCTATTACTTTTTTCACGTATAGCTGTATCTCTTTGCTGTCAGTAGAAGCGGGTAGATAAATAGCAGCATGGCTTGAATGACTTGAAGTGGATATCAATTTTAACCGGACAGCACTGATTTGCTGCTGAATGCTAAAAACGTTTTCCCCGGAAGAGGGACTGCTCCGGCTTTGGATCCTCTTCAGTTTCCGGTCGCTGGTTTTGAATTAACTAAATGCAAGACATTTAATGTAATTGATTCATGCACATTTAAAAGTTAATGACGGCATTTCTTGGAATCGGGCAGCCGACCCATAATGATTGGCTAGTGGTTTTATTTTTTTCCCTATAATGCTCAGACAGCCGGAGACTTGGATCTGCTGTAGGAAGCATATGCTTCTGCAGTTTGGTGGTTCACTTCTCTTATGCGATGGGCTGCTTGTACTGGAAAAGTCAGCGGCGTGGATGGGGGTTACAAGGTCGGCGAGTTCACAAATGCTCGTGACTCGCTAATGAAGGCCTGTCCGGCACCGACGCTGAACAGATGTGCCAGCGATACCCGCGTCACCAGTGCTTAAACGCCACTCCGCCCAAAGTGTGGGCCGGTGACCCAGCGGCTGCTAACCACACAGTGGCAGCTGTGCTCTGCTCAGCTTCTAGGCCAAAGGAAGTTCGCTTTTCAGGCAGAGAGAACCTGGGACCTTTGCGGCATTTAACAATGATTGTCGCGGGGAAAATGCACACCCTGGAATTCCGGATAGCCGGTTACCTTGTTTGGCAGCCGGTTACCTTGTTTTTTTTTTTTTCTGGAGGTCTATCTTGTTGGTCTCTAAAATACAGGCCTGTATGTAGGCCTTAAATAAAGGCCTCTCGAATGTAGTGGATTTCTGATTGTAATTGAAGTCAGTTTTGGGCACCTGCTCACAGCGTCAGAATGCTTGTTCTTTGTGGCATGATGCTGAAAACACCTGCTGTCACAGAGAATTGTAAAATCACACAGAATCATTTATATATATAAAAACAACAAGCCCTGGCAATGCCTCAGCCATTATTTGGATGATGAATTGGCCACATACTGGAATTAATTGGGAATTGCTTTAATGGAGGTCTGTTTTTCTGGAATGGAGCACTGTTTTAAATGAATTACTTTCTTTGCTTTACATTGGTGAGGCGTTAGATAGGATGTGTTCTCCATATTGCATTGGTGCATCTCTTAAGGAGATGTTGAGACTATTGCCTATTTCTTTGCCTAATATACTAATTTGATTATAATTATCTAATGAGTATTTCCCGAGGTTAATGAGAAACGTTAAATGTCTATTCATCAATGTACTGCTGAGAGAGGCTGTATCTGCTTTGCTGCTTTGTGTCTCCCCCTTCACTGTCGTTGTTTACAGTTCTATCTGCATGATGAACGATTTCTTTTATTGTACATGGAGATGTGTGATGCTGCCCCCTATGCTTTCTGTAGTGTATTGCATCCTGTCAGCAAACATCAGTGGTTTTTCATAGTCGTCGTTCTCAACTAACCATCACAGCCCTAGTAATGTTTCCTCATAGTTTTTCTGATTTGTTCTCTTGCTGGTTTTTCGTCCTGTCCACCTGCTGCTTTTCGAAGCCTGATTTTTATTTTTTTTTCCGTTATCCCGTGTCCCAAAACCCACCCGTCGATCGGCAAGTCGTCACATGCCCCAAAAACAGAAACTGGTATTTGGGCTTGTAAATATTGTTGCAGCCCCTTCTCAACCGGGTAATGGGTTCTAGGTGTTGGCAGTAAGCCGTCGCCCCATTTAGCCGACGCCAGTCCCTGTGTCGGATGCATGGTAGTTTTCTGCAAAGGATTCTTCAGCACTAACCAAGCACCTCCGTGTGTCCCCACAGTGTGCCACGCTGAGCTGAACGCCATCATGAACAAGAACTCCTACGATGTCAAGGGCTGCTCCATATACGTGGCCCTGTTCCCCTGTAACGAATGCGCTAAGCTCATCATCCAGGCAGGTGAGGTGCCACCGCTCCACCCCCCCGGCATGCTACATCTCATGTCCCTTCAAAACCCCTCCCCACCACCCCACCATGTGACGTTCTTGGCGCCATGTTACTTCAAAACACAGATTTAATTGCTTTGTCTGATGACTCTCGGGAGGTTGTTTGCTCTGGGTAATGTTCCTCGACAGGTTGCCGACAATGCAGGCCGCGCGCGATGCATCTAATTGGCGTCAGTGTGCCCGTGCTGTCGTGGGGCACCACGTTTACCCCCGCGCAGATCACATGAAAGGGGGTTGCTGTATAATAAACAACTCCCATGGTGTCAGTGGCCCACAGAGTCAAAGGAATGGTCCCCCAAAGCACTTTTTTATTAAATTAAAAATTCTAATCTGCATCCTGTCCGTGGTGCTTTCCCTGTGCCTCCTGGGATTGGCTTCTGGCTCACCGCAAACCTGGATAAGCGCTTATGGAAGACGGATGCGGGGATGAAAATTGAATTTGCTTTAAAGCTGTGATGTAAAAAGACAGGGTATTTATTTTTTCCTGCCTGCTCCCACGATCCCTTGCAGCTGGAATCAAAGCCCATTGTCTGGAAGCCTCCAGAAGCCGCGTGATGAGATGGGGCTGAAGTGTCCCCGCTCTTTTCGCGGGAGAAGTTGTTCAGCTTCTCCTCTCCGTGCCGTGGGGGCTGGAGCTCCGTGGGGGCTGGAGCTCCGTGGGGGCTGGAGCTCCGTGGGGGCTGGAGCTCCGTGGGGGCTGGAGCTCCGTGGGGGCTCTCCCTTCATTAGGAAGCAGTTTGTCGGTGCACCACCCCTCTTGAATCCACTGGCATGTGTCCATTATAGTGGCCTCTTGTATGCTCACCAGATGCAACAGACAAAGTGCAGGTTTTTAAAAATTAAGGCTCACCACACACTGGGCAGGTATGTGGCCGAACGATTTATTTATTATGTATTATTTTGATCCCTGTACATATTTAACCCCATTCTATGAAGTTTAAGGAAAAATGTCTTATAAATTAATTATGTTTAAGGTTTTTTTTCCCCCTTCACTTCTGGGAGTGATGGAATGGAAACTGATGGGCTTTAACATGAACAAGTGCATTTTTGAGCAGCTGCATCTCAAGTGTCTCTGTCTGCAGGACTGTGATGGTGGGCGCTGTGAGCCTTCATATTTACCGTCTAGAGCTCTTTCAATAGAAACGGTCACCTGTGGACCTTGTTTATTCAAATCAATGACACAATTTTTCCAGATTATCCAGGTCATTAGCTTTAATTCCCCCCCAGTATTTGAGGGTGTAAGAAACCTGCCAGAGTTGTTTTTAGAGCAATTTGGTTTCTCAAACTCTGCAGATCCAGTGGAAGTTGGAATTAGTTATCTTTTCAGCAGCCATTTTTTTTTAAAGATCTTAACATACTGAACAAGTGTTAAGTAAATGTGATTTTAGGGGAATCTGTGTTTTTGCTGGTGGTCTTATGTCATATCCACGTCATAAAAGCATATTTTATAGGCTCGCGACACAGCTGCTTGTAAATTGGTGGATCAGAAAGCCGTGTTCCCCAGCTATTCATTAAACAAAAATTCAGACGTGAAATATATGACAAAACAGTATGGAGAAGTGGATCGCTGTGTGAGTGTCATAAAGAGAGCAAGCCGAATGAAATAACCCTACATATGGTGTTGCTTAAGTAAAATATATATACATACACTTGGGGAGGGAGGAGATGAAATAGCAGAAACGCCACATGGAAAAGGGTTTCTGCTTTGCAGTAACTGAATTTCGCACTTAAAATTAGGTTAGCACTTGCCTTGCTGCTCTGGGGCCAGCGTTTGAGTCTTGGGTTTCCACTGGGATCTTCAGTTAGCCCCCCCCCCCCACCCAGTCCAGTAACATCCTAAGGTGAATTGGGGTTGCCAGATAATTAAGTGTTAATGTGTGGGTGTGGTATGTGTACGGTCCAGGGTGGGTTGCTATCCCATCCTGGGTTGTTGCCTGCCTTGTGCTCATAGCTTTCGGGATGAGATCTGGACCCCCGCGACGCTGCATAGGTCAAGTTGGTATAGAGGATGGATGGATGGACAATTGCATATGCAGCTGCATATGTTAAGGTGTAGTAGGTTAAATGCCAAATGGTTCCTACTGGCAGAGGAAAAGCGCCATGAAAAACCATGGCAGTATATACCAGACTTGGACAAACTGTATATACCAAACAGTATATACCAGACATGGACAAACTGCATCAGCAAGGGGAACAGAGGTTGCAAGATAAAGCTTAGCAACAGGGATAGCCCTTAAAAAAAACCACAGAACTGAATCAGCACCTCTGTGACCCATTCCAACAAAAGCCTATGTTGTGTGATTCACAAAGCTGGAATAGGGGCCAGAGCTGCTGTTTGGAAACCACTTGTATCGAAGGCCATTGCACAAGGACTCATGACCAGGAGTTCTGGACCCCTGAGCAAGGTTTTTTTTTTTTTTTTTTTTTTTTTTTTTTTATATAAATAGTATGGCCTGTTCTTTCACAGCGCCAGTTGTTTATGGCAGCCGTCTTGTGGAAATCATTAGGTCCAATGACTTTGAATGGTTGTACAACTAAGGCATTTTAGGTCGTTTCCCAGGATAAGATGTGGTGCAAACACTCTTCTCCCAGTATGTTCTCAGATTCGTGGATGACAGTGACTGCATACAGACTGCAATGCTAAACAGATTCAGTAGTTTCTTCAACACTAGTTGAAGGAAAATACCCTCCATGGACTATCCAATGATATCTAAACATCGTGGTGCCTTTTATAGGACGTTTGGAGTATAGAAAACACAATTTAAGAGAGATTGATACCTCCGTCATCTTAAAATGAGCTACAGGCTTTACAAGTGTGATGATTCCAAGAAGCGTTAATGTTGTCCTAAAAACAAAAGGTGGTGAACTTTTTATTAGGTCTTAAATATTAATACTGATGTTTCCCTTATTTTGTCCACCTCCTAAGTATTTCACATATAACTACTTTGTATTGTTCTTTTTTTAAAAAAGAAAAAATAATAAAAATACCCGTGAATGTGTTTTTGTCAATGTATGAGGTACATTATTAGGTGAATTATTAGTGCTACTGTCTGTCTATAAAAAAATTTTGCGATGTGTTTTTTGCTAGATTTATTGTTAGGAAAAGTCACACTGGTATACTAAAGTTTAGTTTTGAGGGATGTTTGGGCAGTTTTGCTCAGGTCCTGTCACAAATGAAAATTACCCAGTTAATGATTTATATAGAAAGGTAAAAAAAAAAAAATGTGTGACAGAGAAATGGACTTTGGTTCCCCCAGATCATATTTTCAGGTCTTAACGTTACAATTTCTCTCCTGGTGCAGCCCAGCCCCTGGAGGAAGTTCGGTGTGCATTAGAGGCCCAGAAATGCCCCCCCCCCCCTGCCCCGTCCTTTAGAATGACCCATTCAGAGCCAGCTTTACAAGGGACCTCAGAATAATTTTCAGCAATTTTTTTTTCTTCATTCTTTAGTGAAGTAATTTATTCAGCTGGTTATGCTTTGAATTGAAACTGTCTTAACGAATCAGGTTGCCCTTTTTTATCAGTATGTTTGGTTGCTATATGTATTTTTTTTTTTTAGAGATGCTAAAGAAAATTAAATCCTTGGTTCCTGCCATGTAAAGATTGCCCCCTTCACCCCCACCACTACCTTGTATTTTTTATTTTTGTTCTTGTCTGATTTAACTGTTTTCAGCAATTGCCACCACAGTCTTCTTCAGCCACGGTTATTTAAATGCTCGCTTCCCTGTCTTTGGGCTTTATTTCATTTCGAGTTGATGGGATTGATAATCACAACCTGTCACAATCACTTAGCGAATCATTATCCTTGAAAAGGCTGTGGAATAATTAGCACGGTGAAAATGATAAATCTCTCTAAACCCTCTGTGAACCGGGAGTTCCATCTGTAGCGAGAGCCAGCCTTGTTTTTGGTGAGGTGGGCCTTGCCATTCAGGAAAATAAATTACGTGAAATTATAGGCTTGCGAGCGAGAATGAAGAGCGTGCAAAACACCCATTGCTCTACAAAGTCATTTTATTATGGTTCAGTCGCCTCTACTTATAATCTAACATCTTTTTGGTGCAGTTTTGTGTTTTGCGCCCACCTAGATTCCTGCACCTTTTGTTTACACATCCATTAGCTATTCTGCCGTCCTCGTTTACCTTCATCGCCCTTCGGATTTTCAATAGTCGTCTTCCTCACGTCGTCTCTCTGATAATGCTCTTCACTGTGACCTTATGCACGTCGACACAAGCACCCAGGCCTGGGGAAACTAAACAAGTGGTGGTTTTGCCCCCGAAGTTCTCTGCGTCCACAGCGTCCGCTGGTCTGAGAGCTTCCCAGTAAGTTTGGTTTTCCAGAAATTCGCCCTTTTCTGTTGTTTTATTTATCTTTTTTTTTTTTCCTCATGCTGTTTGACCCCCAACTGTTCAGAAGCATTTCTACCCTTGGGAAGTGAGTGGGAGTTTTCCTTAGTGCAGAATAAAAAGATGTAAATCCGTTCAAGGGTCCCCGGTGGTTCATTATTAAGGTTCTTTTTGGAGGGTATAGTATCCCTGCCATTGTCATCCACACACTGTGGGGAAAGGCTTGCCCTATACAATGGGCTTTTCTTTACACTGTAGGCATATCATTATTTACACAAAACACTCCAGCCTTTGGCAAGATAGAAACAAAATATATATTAAATATATATTTTTCTTCAGTGTCACCCAATTAATTCCCATTTAATCAGCAAAGATCAGTGGAAAATCTTTTTTATAAGATTCCATCACAGTGAACAATAGGAGCAAAGTAGGAGCAAAACCTTTGTAACTGTGTGTGGATGTTAATGTCTGGACTGTAGCTGTGTGTTTGGTAGGTGGTTTAATTACTCGGACGTAGTTACTTGTTGAGCGAAAACACCGAAATGGTGTGAACGTGGTGCCGTGCATTAAAGCGGTTGCTTGAGCTGAGGTGCGTCTCTATTGAAAGGCCCGGATTCTGTTCTACGGAACCTGCTCAGGCTACGGATGCTGCGTGCAATTTCGTTTGCCTCGTTTGCAGGTGTTTGTTTGTTTGCCAGCCACAGGGGCTTCCTGAACATACAGATCGGTGGCCCATCCAAGCCTCACCCTCCGTACGGCCCGTCGGGAAGTCTGCTTGGAGGGGGAACGCCCAGCTGTTCTACAGAGCTCTCCGTTTTACCATGAGATATTTACTTTTGAACCCGAATGGCAAAAGTGGGTTTTGGTGAGCCGGTGCTCTGCGATTAATCGCCTGGCATTATTAATGTAGGAATACAGCTTAAGAAGCAGCTTGATACAGATAGTTTTGTGCAGTTTACCTGCTGTTTTGATGAAGGCTCATACTCAGCTGGAAAAGATTAGTCATCGGTATGACACTGCACAGCTTTGGAGTGACATTCATTATATCATACCCCCTGCATTCTTAAATGCACCTGCTCATTTTTTAATAATTTTTTTTAATCTATTTATTTATTTGAGATTAAGCTTTTACTGTTTTTCCAGGCACGTATTTATTGATTTTCTGTACTTAATTGATGTATATTCATGTAGAAATATACTGAAGTTATAATTACAAAAAGCTTCATTATTATTTTTGTCGTTTGTCAGTGTTCCCTTGCCGTCAGTTTTTAAGAATTTATATGATTCCCGTGCAGCCGGAATCGAGATGTTTGAAGAGCCGCCGGTCTCCGTTTTCAGCGTTTTGCACAATGTCCAATTAGTCAGCCAGTCGGCTCGTAAGACAACAGGCAGTGACAAGCAATGACTTAGAATGTTAAAACGTTACCGTGTTCAGAGACGTTGCGTTAAATAATTTTAGTATTCATCTGAAAGATATTCAAATACTCAAGATTTTTCTGGTTTTGAAATGAAATCTGTAGCTAGCTAATAATTATAAAACCAAAGCCAAGTGTGACTATCTAGTAGTGCTAATTGCTAATTAATTCATTCAGGGTACTTAAAATGGATTATTTAATGGCTTATTCAGCCTAATAACTCAGATTTTTTTTGTGTTATTTTCTTTATTGGAGTGGCATGGTGCCTCTGTGGGTGGCACTGCCTCCAGCAGTAGGGGGTGTATGTGTGTGTGTGTGTGTGTGTGTGTGTGAGGATTATATTACATTGCGGGGACCAAATGTAAACTACTTCATACATCCATCTTCTGTCTGCTTATCCTGGTCAGGTTTGTGTGGAAACCTAGTGCTTATCCAATGCAGCACATTTCACATGAGTGGGGTACAGCCCGGAGGGCATGCCAGTCCATTGTAGGACATATGCATGCATCCAGTCATACGCTATGGGCAATTTACAGATGGCAGTTACCCTAACTGCATGTCTTTGGACTGTGGAAGTAAACCAGAGTAGCTGGAGGACACCAGCATGACTGAGGACCTGCAAGCTCCACATGCACACCGAAGGCAAAATCCAAAATCCCGACCCTGGAGCCACCCCTAGTCAACGCTTCAAAAAACGTCTTGGGATTGACTTGGATTGCTGTTTCTGACAGCCGAAATTGAATATTCAGAATATTTATGCGATGCAAGTATGTGTAAATGACCAATCATAATGCCAAGAAGTGATGCAGGCTGTGAGATTTATGCCACCCCCACCATAATGATTATTTAAAGGCCAGATAAGCGATTAGACCAACGCTTCATAGAAAGCCGTCAAAGAAAATGTTACTGATAATGACTCGAGCTTAATTATTGCAGACATGCTCTTGATCTTGAGCCAATAAGCTAGGTCTCTGTTTAGCTTTTCACACCTCATTACTAACTCACGGGGTCAAATGCTAAGCTGAATGTAGAAATTACATATACTGTGGCCTTTCTCTTTTGTACAGGAAGCACATTCATTTGTAAGGTGTGGATCTTACAAATAGTTACTGTGCTTTCAGAACCTTGTTCTTACCCACACAGGCCGCTTTGACACTCAAGTGAGTTTTCAGTCCTGCTCCTGAGCTAAAGTTCCCCTGTCCTACATCAAAATCACAGCTCGTGTCCCCTAGCAACCCAGCCCTGAACAATTCCCTCCACCACACGCTGGCAAGTTTTAAGTTTCGCCCTCAACTTTTCTTCATGCTGTTCAGTAATGGCTGGTGCCCTTGGAGAGCATGGAGTGGGTGGCGTTTCGCTCCCCGTTTGTGGCATCTCACCGCACAGTTACCGACAAGCAGCCGCTATGCTTTAAGCCTACCGAAAACCTAAAAGGCTTCCTTTTGATGCGTTACTCTTTAGCGTCTACATATCTTTAATTTTACCCAATAAATTATTATTTTCTGAAGAATTCACTGTTTTGGGGGAAAGAATCAAAAACATTTTGCCCCCACGATACTGGTCCAGACAGGGATGCATTTTGTATGTTGTTTTTTCTTCCTTTTCTTTGATGTATTGGGAACATAATGTTGAGGTCCTTAGTACTTAAGGTTCTTAGTTTGTCATCTGAAGGTTATGTACCTGCTGAGGGGACTGCATAGGAGCGGCCAGCTGTTTGACCTCAGCCGAACCTCTGCCCTTCCTCACCTCTTTCCTGTTCCCCGGTGAAGATGGGTGCTCCTCAGTTCCTCTGCATCTCCTAACGAGCGTAAATGTTGCTCTCTCATCCTTTCTGGGGAATAACTAACACTCGTAAAATGACCACGTGTCTCCGTTACGTGTCTCTCACTTTTTGTCCCTGTTACAGTGATGGCTTTGTCTTCTTCGTGTAACAGTCCTCTCTGCTCATAGTGTCCTACCAGGCTGTCAGGAACATAACTGATGTTCCTCTGTGTTTACCTGCAGGTATAAAGGAGGTGATTTATTTATCAGACAAGTACCACGATAACCCTGAAATGACTGCCTCGAGACGCCTCTTTGACATGGCGAGGGTCACATGCAGGTGGGTAACTAGGCTGTGTAATTGCTTCCTTATCATCTGCCAGAGCCCCACATATGTAAATGTATATACACACATCCATTGATTCTTTTGTTCTGTCTTGGGAACCACCCACCCTGCAAATGAATGGATTTTTCTTTACCCACGATTCAGTGCTGCTGGGGTGAAGGCAGGCCAGGGGGAGTGGGTGTATTGAAATAGAATCCTAGTTTTTGCCTGATGCAGTGATAAATATGTATAATATAATGACTGCTTGAAAGAATCAACTACTGAAAAGTTAACTTTAAACTCTTCTTAACTTTTAATCTGTTCCGTGTCTTTGCTATAGTATGAAGCATAGGGAAAAATAATTTTGTTTGCCCTATTAGTCGTAAATAGCAGCTTGCAGGATTCTGTATATACAAAAATTACATTACTTCTTCCTTTTTATTTGAGTCAAGACAATATTGAAGTGTATTTAACTCTAGGCTTTCTGTAGGTGTTTGTTTTGTCACATAAGTTTAAAAACTTGGCCCCAGTCATAACAATTGTTACCATGGAAATATGTGTCGATTTGATGTCTTTCTGTTTGTCCATTTTTATGGTACATCGTGCATAATGGAAAATTTTTGGGGCCAGACCTCTGCATTATGGCAGGAAGTACGTTTTTAGATTACCTTTTTTGTTTTAATATCACTTAGCCAAAATGTTGTTGTTGTTTTTTGTACCTCTCTTTAAAAACAACCTCTCATGACATAATAACTCAACATCTGAAGTTTATATTAATCCTTTGTGTTGAAGCAATGAGTAAAGATTAATGTTGTTTTTTTGGTGCATACCCCTCACGCATTAAAGATAATACAATGTTATATGTTCAGTCCCCTATTTTAGATAATCAGGAGTAACAGATTAAATTTTAAAGTGTTTTTTAAAATGCTTCGACAGTCCTCAGAATATTTTTAGGTGTCTGTTATAAACTNTTTTTTTTTTTTTTTTTTTTTTTTTTTTGCCCAAATATTTAGATGACAGAATTTTGATATAGTTTGTAATTCCAGACATTCATACAGACACATTGCAGTGTTGAAATTCATACCAGTTTAACAAATCAAGCAAATCAAAAATCGGCAAAACGGATCAAGAAAATAAATGTTTTCACTGCCTTGATGGAGTGAGCTTTGCCTCGCTCTGTCAAGACTGAGAAATCGGAAACTGATTGTCCAGCTTTGATGTAGTTCACTCTAAGTATCGGAAGAGGAATCAAGCAGATAGATTTCACATATGCTCTGTGACGAGTCTTCAGCATTCACGCGATGTAGCTGTTTGCTCCGTTTGCCTTCATCTTCCCGTAAGTGTTACCCGCATAAAGCTTGAATTAAACGTTTCCGAGGAGAAATGCTACAAGTAATCTAAAAAGTAGTGCGATGAGCTCTGGAAGGGACGAAGGTGTGTAAATGCATATTTAAAATGGGACAAAAGCTTGGGAACTTCAGGGAGACCCTGCCACCCCCTTCCAGCCGAGCAGCTCACGCCGACTCCTCTGCAGCCAGAGCGGCAGCGTAGTGGGTCGGCACTCGCCTCCACCGAGCGGCTCGAGCCAGGCTGGCGCTTGGCGTGGGGTGTAATGCTGTTGACTGATGTTGGGCAGTGTGACCCCGGTGATTAATTCCGGGAGATTGCATGTCCTGACTTCCCTCTCGTTCCCCAGCGTGTCGCTCCATAATTGGTTCTTTCACAGATCCGATATGCTGGAGGACATCGAGGTGAGAGGTTGTGAATTTAAAGACGTTCCTCATCTATATCTGGAGGAGAAATTGAAACCAGCTGAAAATGAGAAAATAAAATAACAAAGATGACTAATTTTTTGTCACTTTCTCTCCCCCTTCCCTTCTTATTTTCATTTTTTTTTTATATGTTTTCCAGGCAGTTTGTGCCAAAATGCAGCAAGATTGTCATTGATTTTAATTCAATTAACCAGACAGCAATGGGCAGTATGAGAAGTCCAACCACTCACCTTAAATAGCTTGAGCTTTCAGCCCCTTCATGTCGCACATCTGCAGAAGAAATTACTCCGTATGTCTCCTCATCAAAAGTGCTGTACGGAGATGTATCCTGTGTCCTCAATTTGAAGAGTGTGTTATTAGCTGGGTGAGGTTACTTTTAATGCCTTTGGCCTGACACTATACTGTTTCCTATCATTCACTCTAAGCACCTTTTTTAGTTCTAATGGCAGTTAAAATGGGTATTTTAATGAATGTGTCTTAATGAAAATGTATACAATTAATGCAGGTGTAGACATTCACCTTTAAATGTATTTTTGTGTGTGTTACATTGTGTCCAATTAACTGTGCCATTAAATATGTATGGGTAAAGCCAAATGTTTTGCAAAATTATTATTATTTTTTCCCTGCTTGGACTTTTGTTGCTTCTGTGAGTGAGCACAGGTGTGCACTGCCTTTCATCAGCCAGGCAGATCTGATAAGGATGTCGTTTTCTAATGATGTTGTGGTCCCGAGTGAATCCAGAAAATCTTCCTGAGCCGTGGATAGACTGTCACTGTGGTGGAAATTCATGTCAGTGTCACTCTGTGTGCGCACATCGATCTTCACCGGATTCAGTTAAGTTTCGGTTCATCCGAAAAAAGTTGTTGCTTAGAAACTGCGGAATTGAAAGTTCTGATACTTGGCTTCTGCTCAGCTGATGGTCTTAATCATAAAGACGAATTACTGGCAAGGTAACACAAGGTAACAGTTCTCCCAGCTGTGGGCCTTTCGTTGCTTATCAGGCTCATTTGAAGTTTTTGGATTTTCACCATATGAAGTCACTAATTTAAATTTCAAAACGGAGCAAAAAAGGGGACTGATTTCTGTTCTCTCCTGATTACCTGATTTTTGGAAGTTCCTGAGATATTGAACTTGAGCATACAAAACTGGATATCTTTCTCATTTGCTTACTGAAGAAAGTAAATAACTGGTATGATTAATATGGTCAAATCGGCAAGTTAGGCGTACTCACCTCAACAGTTCTACAAGGATCGGATAAATTGCAGCAGGTTTTAATTCTAAGCTTATCCACCTTTTAAATATTCGCAGTTGCAACTTTTATCTCTGATGTTCTGCTTTGTTAAATTTTCTTTTTTCTCCTTTCTAAACTTTCCTCATATAATCGATTTTTGGCTGGCTTTATTCATTTAACCAGTAATCCATATTTAATTTATATTGGAACGTTGGTTGGTTTTTTGAATATATACATATATAAATACGCTTCTGTGATACCGCTTCTACATGTATGGAGTGATTGTACTGCTTGCGTTCCAGTTGTTAAGGAATTACTCTCTTGGCTCTGTGCTTCCCGAGCGCCGTCTGTTCTGTGGCTTCTCTTCAGCTGACTCCCGACTTCTGGTCAGTCTGCTGATGTGTGACTTTTTGCTCAAAACCCTGAAATATGAATCCAGGCACTTTGCATTGTCAGGTATCCAAAACGTCACACATGCTATTTAAAAATCTGCTTCAATGGTTATTTACATTTTTTTTTCCCCCTTCAGTCCCAAGCTGGTCCACCTTCTGCATTTTTGGAAGATGCATGTGATGGAATCAAGAAATGTTTTGTTGAATAGGTCATTACTTTTGGGCTATATTCTGTTGTTATTATGCAATTAAGACTTCCAAAGAGCTGGGCTGATTTTCATTTAATTGTTCCAACTTAAGTGTGAACACACAGCTCAATGAAGTCCGGGTTAGATGCCAGCTCCGTCACCCCTTGCATAGTTTGATCTTGTGCTCTGTTAAAATAAAGAAATAAACTTTTTTTTTTTTTAAAGAATAGAAATAATGGAATGACTCACCTGCTCAGGGCTCATTTTTTTTCCAACTAAATTGTCAGCAAATTAAATAACATTAGATTTGATCTTTCACTGTGTTCACCTCCCATCCTTAAAGCCTGAATCAGGTCATCCATCTTCCAGCCACTTTTCTTGGTTGGGGGGCCTGGAGTCTATCCCAGGCAGCACAGGTTACAAGTCTGGAGGGCACCCCAGCCAGGATTCCAGTCCAGCACGGGGCACATGCATGCACACAATCTGTGGGCTATTTAGAGACGCCAATTAGCTTAACTGCATGTCTTCGTGCTGCAGAAGGAAGCCTGTACAACAAGGAGAGGACTCGCAGAACTTCACACACGCAGAGCAGAGGCGTGTTTCAACATCCAGACGATGGAGGCGTGAGGTGACAGTTCTACACATGCTGTCAGTATTTTTTACACATGAAGAACAGTGAAATTCAGCTTTGTGCTCTGCTGCCTGTCAGCTCGCGCTTCCCTGAACTACTGCAAAAAAAAACAAGGACGGTTTTGCTCGTCTTACGGTGGAGGTGTGTGGCTCAGTGAGTTACGCTGTTGTGCTCGTGGTCAGCAGAGCACCGGTTCAAATCACGATTTCACTGTTGGGCCATTGAGCAAGACCCTTAACCCCAGTTTCTCCATGGATTACATGACGCTGCTTTTTCATTTGTACTCGCTTGAATAAAAGTGTCTGGTAAATAAAATGCTAATGCACTATATTCAGGTTGCAAGACAGTTGATTTTTTTTAATGGCTAGACGGCATAGACAAACTGCCTCATCATACAGTACATGTATCACTGATTCTATCGCCTTTTATCCAGTTTTAAGTGTTATTCTTACTATTTAAACACCTGTAACTTTGGGATGTTGAATCCATGTATTCTTAGCTAGAAGGCTCCTCTGCCTCTCATTGACATGAACAATAAGCTTACAGTTGTATCCGTCAGACTTTTGCTGTGGTTTACAGTGACACTAAAGTGGACTATTTCATCATACCTTAACTCCCGTGAAAGGCTGACCTTTCAAATGAGATTTCAGCAAATCAGCAGTACCAAAATACTGCAGCGATCTTATTGAAGTCAAAACTCCTGGGAAAATTTTGAAGGACAGTGCTCTGAATCATTGACAATATACTGTTCAATAATTTTACTCCAAACAAGTCATAACTTATCCCAAGCGACCTAGTGATCTTAGGCGGCACCTAGTCATTACAGGTCATCGTCAACTTATGGCCACGATCGGTTCCGACTGACCTGTCGTAAGTGGATTTGGTCATGTCAGCCCTTAATTTTTATTTATTAAATTTTTTTTTGCAAAAATGATCACATGTATAGTATACTGTATCATAAGATTATATAATTTTGATGCTTTTTTTATCACCATATTAATTCATTGTTGCTTGCAGTTGGGGCGGAAACTGTCATACAGTCGTGGACACATTATCTGCGGTCGCAGATCGCAGGTCATTAGTTGCATAGGTTGCAAGTCGATTTATCTAATTTTGTTCTTCCTGTGCTTGATTGTATAGAAGCTTCTGCTTTTGTTTTGCTTTTTTATGGTTGTGTGTTTGTGCTCCCCAATGCATAGTAACGGCTCAACATGTTGCCCTGATCTAGGTAATATCCAGGGACCATCGGCCTGTAACTTGAGCTTGGGTGTATTACTTGAACTGGCCTTGCTGTAGCACCCTTGTGCAACTCCTTTGCCCTGGATTGTTCCAGTAAATATCTGGCTGCATGATGTACAATATCTGGGAACTAAGCAACAAAACAACAACGGACAAGAGAGCTCAGTCTAAGGCCTCCACCCCAAGGACTGTCCACTTACGCTATGGGTGATGCTGGAGCAAACAAATGCAATATTCATGATAATTTTCTACAGTAACCTGTTGTAGCGGAAGTACAAGGCAGGGTATGCAATAGTGAAAGGAAACAAAACTCAGCTTTTGCCGCTGGATTACATGTCAGCACACGTGCTTTACATCTGCGTTTCGTTACGTTAGCAGGTGGTATGGCTTAACGTAACGAGTACAGGATAATGGGCAGCTCTGCCAGCCGTATATTGACCCACTGTCCATATGTAACTTGTAATACAGTAAGCATACAGTAATGTATATGTGCTAGAGAGCTACAATATCAAGAAACGGCCAAAATGACTTGCGTCCGGTGGTCCCAGTCATAAATATGTACGCAAGTCGACGCAAAGCTATACTGTATAACACATGATACAATGGTAAAAATACATATGCTAATGTCCACTACGTCTGCTCAAAGTTTCTTGATAAATTTTATTAAAGCTTCCATGGGACATAAGTACAGTCAGATGTTACTCAATACCATGTAAATCGAGGGGTGACTGTTTATTTTCTGTCAGAATGGTAGCTGTATGAGGGGTTGGTATGTGGGTTGCTCGTTGGGCAGCACTGTTGGTAACACCTGTAGTTTGAAAGCCATCTCTACACTTGGTGGAGTTTGCGTGTTCTTCCCATTTCATCAAGGTCTCCTCCCCCAGCCCAAAGAACTGGGCTAATGGGTGTCTCTAAATTGCCTATTGAGGGTCACTGTATGTGCCCAGTGATGCCGTCCTGTCCAGGGTGTGCCCTTGCCCAGTGCTGGCTGAGATTGGCTCCAAGCCCCCCCCACCTTCTGTGACTTGGACTTGAATAAGCAGTTAGATGGTATTTGTATAACGAAAACCTCAAGTTTTATGTTTTTTTTTTTTTTTTTTTGCTTCTTTTAGTTCAGAACTTGACAGATTCTTGTGGTAATTTCCTCCATTGTCTTAAGTTTTATTTTCTGCCTGTTCACCGCAACAGATGTTCACAGTGTTCCACGCCACTCCTTCAATTGTCTTACACTAATCTGGAGAAGCCATGTTGTTTTAGATGAAACATACATTGTTTATCAATTAACAAGCCGCACCAGCCTCCCTCTTGGCTGCTGCATATTCGCGGCCTTAAAGTATTGTGTGCCGTTGGAAATGTTTTGCGGTTTCCCGTGATTCATTGTTCAGTGTGATTTCTAATTGCGTCGGAATGTCGGCGTCCTTTTCTTGGCGGGGACTCGGAATTCTCTAATGGGCCCTCCTCCAGATTTAGCAAATGGAATCCAATGTTGGCCGGGGGGTTAATGGCAAGGCCCCCTGAAGACAACCATATTGCATCTAAAAAAAAAAAAAAAAAACCCAGAAAAAGAGAAAAGAAAATGAGAAAAAAGAAATGTAACTCCCCCCAGTTTGCTTTGTGGCATTTCCAGTATGTCTGGCCATGGGAATACACCACCTGTCTCTTCTCTTCCTTCAGCTGGGTTTTTTTTGTGTGTGAGACAGGTGGTGGGGCAACTGATTTATATTAATTGCCTTTTTCTTTGGAACGCAACCCAAAAAGACACTTACCTTATCGTCTTCTTTTGTAGGGAAAACGGCGGCTTTAGTAAACTCTGAATAAAAATACAGCATCAATAGTAAGGCGAGCTCGTATTTTCTAACCTGTGGGACAATAGTATCAAATTTGGATTTGTGCATGGCTTGCTTTGTGTTTTTAGTAATTAAAATAACAGCTTGCATTAAAACAAGTGTGGTGAAATGGTATCTGCCTCCTTTCTGCATATTTGTCACACTTTTCAGACCTTCAAACAAAAATATATATGACAAAGACAGCCTGAGTAAATATAAAATACCATCCATCCGTCCATTTTCCAAACCTCTTATCCTTCTGGGTTGCGGGGGGTCCGGAGCCTACGGGCATGAGGTGGGGAACAACCCAGGATAGGGGGCCAACCCACCGCAGGGCACTCTCACACACCTATGGGCAATTACTCCAATTAGCCTCAGTCTGTCTTTGGACTGTGGGGGGAAACCGGAGTACCTGGAGGAAACCCCACGACAACATGAGAACATACAAACTCCACACGCATGTAATCCAGGCAGAGACTCGAACCCTGGTCCTAGAGGTGTAAGGCAACAGTGCCAACCACTGCACCACCATAAAATACAGTTTTGAAATTATCTTTTCAGTTATTCGTGGAAAAAAGTTATCCAACACCAGCCGACCCTGTGTAAAAAAACGTAATTAGTAGTTACTCAAGCAACCAATTAACCAAATTTATTTGATCACTGGGTTCAATTAGACTAGACAGACCCAGGCTTGATTGCTGCCACCCCTACTGAATATAAATATCACTTAAATAGAACCTTTTCAGCAATATGAAGTAGCTACAAGGTCCTGCTGCCATCAGAAGTTCAAAAGAACCTTATTAAATTACACTGCCAGTCAAAAGTTTTTACACACCACAGGTTTTTAACCACTTTTCCAGTTATTTCATAAACTGCAGATTTTTTATTCTTGTTACTCACTGGAAAGTTGAGTAAACTACAAATGAAAATATAAGTCAAATAAAACAAGTTTCCCTTATAATATGGAAAGAGAACGTATAATAATAGTGCATGTCTGATGACATATACAGTACTGTACTGCCCGGCCATTTGTCATGGTAAATGGATTGCATTTATATAGTGCATTTTTGCTACTCTTTCAAGCACTCAAAGCACTTTACAGTTATGCCTCACATTCACCCATTCATACACTGGTGGCAGAAGCTGCCATGCAAGGCACCAACCAGCTCATCGGGAACAATTTGGGGTTCATTGTCTTGCTCAAGGACACTTTGATGAGGTCAGGAGGACCCGGGGCTCAAACCTGCAACCCTCCGGTTGCCAAACGGTAGCACTACCTCTTGCACCACCATCGCCCCTCATGGTGTTGTTTCCACAGGCTTATGTAACATCTCACCCTTTATTTTCATCCAGATTTGAATTAACTTCTCACAGAGATCCTGTATTGACAAGTGAGTTGAACCTCCATAAAGCCTCCTTCAGCACATCCCAAAGACCTTCAATGAGGTTAAGGTCACAACTCTGTGGTGGCCAAGTCATGCGTGAAAATGATTCCTCATGCTCCCTAAACCAGTCTTTGACAATTCAAATCCAATGAATCTTGGCATTCTTGTCCTGGAATATGCCCATGCCAACAGGGAAGAAAAAAATCCATTGATGATGGATGGAGGTGTAACCTGGCCATTCAGTAGATTCAGGTACTCAGCTGACTTCACTTTATTGCTGCATAACGTACCTGAGCTGTAATAATGATCCAGTCATTGGCTCTTAAGTATTTGCTGATATAAATTCAAATGGTGACTTTTTTTTTGGCCGGACAACGTATTAACTGCTTGATAGCATTGTCGAATTCTAGTCTGTCCTTTAACTTTAAATGCACTAGTTAACTGTTTCATCCCATGAAACAGAGCAGTATTTAATGTCCCTTGCAGGAAGAATGCCTCGAATGTTCTCTGCTATTATAACTGCTAGAGGAGGTTACTTTTATGAATCAAAGATATGACATTTTCTTGCTGATAAAAGTACTCAAATCATGAAGATACGTATCAACGATACGTCCAGGAAGCAACAAAAGAGCCCAGACTTGCATCTGAGGAACTGCAGGCCTCGTTTACCTTAGATAGTCGCTATTCATGATTCTGCATTAGGAATGGAATTCACAGGAATGGCAAATATGTTTCTGTGGCACAATGTTCCTATTTTTTGATGCATTATCAGCAGTTACTGTTTTAATATATGAGCTGAGAATAACAGTTGTACTGCATGACCATTTACCAGTAATTGCACTTCATCATAGATTTGATCAAAGTGCTCATTTCACAGAGGAACCACATTCAATTGAGAATAACGTAACGTGCAATTTCACATAAATTAAACGTGCACCATATTTCTGCCATTCCCTGCACGGGGCTCGGTGGGTAACGCTGTTACTTCGCAGGAGGTTGAAGTCCCTCCCCTTCTCCGCTCTGTGCCTCTTCTTCCCCTCGCCATGCGGGTTTTCACCCCCCATCCAAAGACATGCAGTTAGGCTAATTGGCGTCGCTGGATGGCCCACGGTGCGTCTGTATGTCCCCTACGCCTGACTGCCGTTCTCTGCGGGCTGTCCCCCTCCCTGGTGCCTTCAGCTGCCTGGGATAGTCTCTAGGACATCCTGCGACCCTGACCAGGATAAGTCAAGGAGCATAATATGGACATTTGTAATCTTTCATTCTGCCTGGGAGGACCAGCTAAAGACCTATTCATTATGCATAATTCAGCAATACAGTGTAGCTAGCATTCTGGAAAGTTCTGGCACTCTCCCGCGCGGCTGCCCGCTGCAGCAGCCCCCGTGTGTTTGTTCGTTATCTTTGTCCCGAAATTTCCCCCTGGGATCAATAAAATCTGTGGTAATCATATAGGAATTTTCTAGGTTTGCAGGTGACTTGGTGTGTCTGTTAACGTGTGACCACCAGTGCCAGCGGTGGAGCTTTTTGGTT